AATGCGCAAGTAGAAACACGATTCGATTCGATTCGTTTACGATTTAAAGGGCGTAAATCTAGGCTTGGTTTACGAAAATAAAAAAACATCTGTTTAGGTGCGAGTGGCAAGCAGCCGGTTAAAAATTCGTGTGTCATCACATCTATCGATCAATCGACTCTTCGCTATCAGAACCGATACGGAAATAAAGTGGAAGAGGGAACGGATATTTTCTTCTTAGTTGCATTTATTTTGAAGTCTGTCTACGCTCTACCTTCGGGCTTTCCGCGATATTTATAGTCTCTGAGCTTAAGAATCCTCTTTAACGTCATCTCGGTACTAAATTGCATATATAATTGCAGCAAAAGTAACATACGTATTTACTATAATAACAATAAATCTTGTTGATTTATTTGCCTGCTAATGATGAAAGTGACAGACGTTTAATTTCACTTTGTAAATATTTTTTAACCTATTCTATTCATTGTTAAAATAGTAAGGTACTTGGAAATACATTTTTTTATTGTGCAATTGTTCACATCGCACCTCTGTTTATTGTAATTGTTCAAATAGATTGAGATGTAGATATCATTTCTCATGTGGTTTTTTAAATATTTACTTCACTTTCATTTAAGATCGCTAATTTTAAAATGGTTCCACGGTTTCATTGCTTTTTTTCAGAGCAATTAAAACGGGTTTCAATTGTTCAAATGCGAGTAATTATAAGAGTAATTTGATCATTACAGTGTGTTTTACACACAAATTTGTGTCCAAGTATTAAACTTGAAATTACTTTCTTAATTAAATTGTAATATTTGTTTAACTCTCTCTACATCTTCCTTAAGAGGAAATAAGAAATTTTAGAGAAGATATACCGAAAGATGGACCAAGGGAGATAAAAATTTCAAAATTTCTGGATTCCCTTCTCCAGTTTTGGTTAATTGGACTGTGCTAATAGGTAATTATGCAAATTTGTTTGATAGCGCTTAACCTATTCCCTTCCTATCCCACTTGTAATCTCTGGATTATCCCACAATCGTGGAAATTTGCATGATTATTGGGCCTCCAATTTTCATGTTAAACCATTTTTTGCCTCCTCCCTATCTTAGAATCTCTTAATTCAGGATATTTTACAAGAATTATTATTAAGTGTCGAATGTATTCGGTTTCAGCATCGTACACTTAACATGTTAGTAGCTACACCTATACATAACCAGAAATGTTACCGACCTATTCGCATTCCTTTCCACTAATGAGTTAATGAAGCCATATAAAATAAGTCGATTCTATTTATACGTGTTTTTATCAAGGACGATTAAACATCAAACTACAAAGTACAAGTGCACTTAACCGAAATTGATCCTTCAAATTACAAGTAAACGATTTGAAATTTCCATTTGCCGTTTTTATTTATCGCCCGAACGCAAACGGAAATCGATGAGTAATTCGAATTTTTCAAGTGAAGTTAAATTGCAAAGTTTTTTTGATTGATAGAAGAGCAGTCGTTTCTAAATTAACTTGTAGAATGAATCAAAAAGTTTAGAATCCTTTTGAACGCTACCCCTTAGCAAAACAAGACCAATTTGCTGCAGTTTTATAATGGAAATGGAGAATTTTTATTAATATACAAAAAATTAAAAACTTTATCTAATCAAAACTAAGAGAAAAAAAGTGATAATAAAATCAATCAACACAATCAAAATCAATGCAATTCTCAAGCGAGCCTTGCAAATTTATCATTGAAAGCCAATCAAATAATCATCAATCAATGAAACTGTTCCCACGAACAATTCATTCATTCTTAAGTGCAACTGCGAAGACATGCTTTTTCATAAATTGTCATTTCTTTCCACCTTCAACATCTTCAAGTATGTAAATTATTAAAAAGAGTAAGATATACAATATACGAAAGTTAGTGGCAACATCGCAGTGACAAGATATTGTTCAAGGATAGAATACATCATGTAATGATCATTTAACAACTTTAACAGCAAACCTAAAGTCTTCTAATCAAAATTATACGGGAAATAAAATTTCAAAATCGCTATTATTGGTATATTTACTAAATTACAAGCGGAAAGATTCAATTTTATAAATGACTTACTAAATGTCAAAGTGATCAATCCTTTTAGGATATGCATACCTTGGTCTTATCCCCTCTACGTTCGCGAACGCAGCACTGTTGACGGTGGCGCCGCAGTCGTGTCGTGGCAGTCCCGGCAGTTTGCGAGTGTCGTTCGTTTGGGTGACGGATAACGCCGTACGAAAATAAACACAAATAAGAAATATACACCGAGTGTTTACAGTTTGGAAGTGCCGAGTCGCTTTAAATGATAAATAATGGTGGTTTTGTTGTTGTGAGGACGCGAGTGCACGTCGAAGTTATGTGGATTTGACGACTGGATTCGCTACAATTCGTAGACTTCTAGATTGAATTGAATAGAAAGTAAGTGCATACCTACATGTTGCTAGCGAATATGCTAGATAAAACTAAAATGTTTGCCTGCGATTAATAGCGATTTCTAATTTATTTGTACGAATTTCGCTATATTTTGCGATATTTGTATCGAACTATCGCAGTGTGTTTTTGGGTTATGATCGTATGTAGGCATGAATATAGGCCGTAGGCACACCCTTCAAGGATAACTGGGATCTTGTTCAAGTTTAACTTTATGTTCTATAATATTATACAAACCGAATAAAATGTAATATAGAAGCTCTATTGTTGTCTAATCAATTCAATTACGATCATATTGAATACGCATCCTCTACGATGAATATTATTGTTATGTTTTCGGTAGAAAGAGAAGGTCGCTTTAATGCAGTGCATTATATTTACCACGAATGTCGCAAGTTTATGTGATTATTTAACAAAATTATTCAATTCGAAACATTTATCAAGTTTGCTGTGGTATCATGTAGAATTTATAATGTGACAACTTTGATGTTTGATGAATATTGTGCTAAATTTTATTAAATATACGGGGAGGTTTTCTTTAAAAGGTAGTAATTATTCTGGGGTTCAATTAAAATGAATTCATCAAGTTTGCTGTGAAATTGGGACATTAATGAAGAATGTGACAACTTTGACGTTTTGTGATTATCAAACTCTCGCTGAATAAAGATTCAGTTCGTGATTCAATTAATTTTCTTACTGGCAGAATTTTTATTATTTGAAGGTTGATTTTAATAATCAAGTGTACTGTGGAATATATGGAATTAATAACCTTTTTACAATTTTGACATTCTGTCAATCAAACTAGTCAATTTTTTGTTTGAATTTTGTATTTTTACTACAATTTTTTTAATTCAACGTCAAAAACATGCATTTATACCTACATACATAGATGTATGTTGCACTTTTTGTATTTAAGTAAATTCTGTTTAATTTAATAATTATTTATCATTTTTCATTCTGTGAAAAATAATCGCAATTCGAACGTATGAATACGTGACTCACTGTTTTCCGTCTGAAATCAAACCGTCCATAAAAATCCATTAATACTCGGTTGGAACCATTCCCAATAAAAATAATAGGTACAAGTATATTTGTGTGTATAATTTCTAATGTTAGAACTTCAACCATACGAGATAATAAACCAATAAATTCGTAAGGTCGAATAATTTAAAATTAGCCTCGATATTATCGATTATTTCGATTTCGAACTGATAGTTAGGTTAAGGTATTTTAATCGTCAATTCGCCTAGCAGGAAGTTAGTCAGTTTATCAAAGTCGATTGATTAGGATGTTATACATGTAAATTGTAAATATTCAAACCGTTTTGAGGACGATTAATGGTTTATTTCGCACATTGATTTGTTTATCCAGTAACAGTTCGAAGATAACATATTGAAGGATGTGTTGGGGTATTAACCTGATGGTTTTTTATATAGAAAGTTATGTATTGAATTTATTTTGTTAGTATATCCCGTGTAAGCTCTTTTGAAAGTTGATGAAGTCTAAATTGTTTATCTACCTGAAGGAGTCTTCTTGTAGATACATATATCCTAAAAATCATCTAAAAAGTATCTAGTCATTTTTAAATTAATATTTATTTAAAAAATGATTTTTGATATTTGTTTGGCAACATGCATACTCACTTAGTATATCTGTAAATATTTGTCTTATTCATATTAATGACCTCCAATTTAACTTTGTAATTTTAGTACCTAGGTAGTTTGACTTTTATCGCAAAGGTAAATTGTATAATAGTTAAAACGAATTACCGGAATATGTAACGTAATTTTCGTTTAATATTTATATGATATTCAAATAAAACAATTACGTTATCATGACGTGCAACCCATTAATTTATATATTAGGTAGTTACCCGACTTTTAAGTAATTTCATTTAATTTATTTAAGCTCCTTTTTATATTATATTAATTATAATATCAGATGTATGTATGTTTAGAATATGAGCGTGGAAAATAACGATTATTAGATATGTATGGATTTAAATTGGGCATTTGTTGATAATTAAAAAATGTGTCTGCCGAATAAAAAACTTCACGGGTATAGCAATTAATACATATTATTATGGATCTGTTACTTTGGCAATAAATTGCTGCGGATTTACAAAAATACATTAAACGGGGGCCCCAGTGCTGGAGCTCTCGTTAACAATGCGGGTTTACCTTATTAACTGTAATTGATTTTACAATAATTATCTGATAGCGATAGTTATGTATATTGCGTAGGTATTATAGTTCGGTTACTAAAATAGAGAATTAATCAAGCATTTTAAGTCTGAAGGATTTTCACCCCTATATTTTACTGACAGCTGAATAAATTAGTTGCGTGTAATGTTATTTTAGGTGTATCTTATACATTATAAAAACTAAAGAGGAACATTATAGGGGTAAATAATTGATACCTTATAAAAAACGTATATGATGGCGGACACCCTGTAAAGCTTGACCATCTTATTATTTCTAATGGCCTTTTACCTATTTTTATACCAGCAAACAAACCTATCGAAAATCACGTTGTAATGACAACGACTTTTCCCATCGGATAGAAAGAACGCTACTATTTGTCAGCGATTAGAAAACAGATATACTATTCGGTATGCGACAACACTCGTGACACATTTTAATTTTTTGTCGATCCTCTAAACACGTTCCCCAAAAAAAAATTCTCAAAAATTCACGGTGGATGATTTTCGTCGACTTTTCCAGCCGCCCGTTCGACCGCCTTTCTTCCGTTCTTCCTCCGATGTTCGGCCGTACGCGAAGCGGCGCGATGAAGGCGAGCAGGTAGAAGAGACCGCCATGAGTGGAGCCGGCCCGGCCGCCGCCCCAGCGGTTTTGCTGCTGCAACAGCAGACCGATTTGAAGCGGCAGAAGTTGATCGGCTGCAGGGACAACGTGCCTTCGGTGCACGGAAGGCCCAACGCCTCCCTCAACGTCAAGACCAGATTGAGCAATCACCAGAGAAATTTGAGTCTTGATTTCAGGTGAGTCAACCACGTGTAATTTTGTATTGTTTAACTTTACGCAGTTAAAAATTTTGAATTTCTCTTTGGACACTCCTTGCTTTTCATATACAAAGATATAACAAAGTTATAACAATGTATCCTTCTTATTTTAAGTTATATTAAAAATTTAACAACAAACAACTACTTTTACAGAGTATAATCTCGAGTTTCTTATACTACAATGTATAAAACTACTAAATTGTCTTTGTGAAAGTAAAAACTCTAAAACTACTTCTAAGGTACTCACGAGTAAAGTACACTTTGTACAAGTTGAATAAAGTTTCTCGCATGATTTCTCTTAACCCTCTTATACTTGCCTACAATTTAGCAAGTTTCAAATTGCTTGCAAACATTTCTACTTTCGTATAAATTAATAATTAAATTGATAATTTAACACCAGATGCAATTTTTACCGAGTAATGAAAAAAAAAATTGAGAAAAAAAATTATGAGAGAAACTATATTCATGCAAAAATTCGAAAATTTTTATTTGAAAACTGAAATTCGTTAAAAAATTAACGACTTTCGGAACCGCAATAAAAATCGAATGCGCATTGTGCATTGGACTCCTGCAATAACCACGTTTACTACTATTTTACTTTTTTATTATCGTTACGTGCAAAAAAAACCAATACAAAAATTACTGGAAATCAAAATGCATGCTCCGCAATTTCCGATAGATAGGACCTACAATGTTTCTTAGTGCATCGCAATATCGGAAATATAAGTTAGAAATTCGAATTCTAAACAATGATCGTGTCCTCTTATCAAGGTACCACAGCCGAATTCGATGCCAAATGTATCCTTGGAACGAGCCAAATTCTATTTAATTGGCCAAAAAACTCCCCTATAAATTATTAAAAAATAAAAACAATATTGCATTTCCAACACAATTCAATAATCCTTCAAAAATAATATTGTATTTCCTTCTATTTAATCTAGCATCGAACGAAAAAAAGCTATCTAAATCTTTATGTGAATTTATGCCTTGTCTTGTAAAGCTCTCGATTGTCTCAATTTAACGCAATTAATCCACTTTATCCGAGGAACGGTCCCGGTTCGATTAATTGTCGAGGAATGCTCTAGAATTTATGAAAGAATGCGTTGTCCTCGCCAGACACTCAGAAATGCGATACAGAACTGCATGAATGGGAACAGGGTGGGTTATCTTTCCGCACCGGAACCGCCCACGCCTATACAGATAAGCCTTTCGACTTCACTTCACTCGGATTGCGTGGAGGAAAAAATGTGTATTCTGTTTATTTTTAGTTTAAGTATAGACGATTTAATTTATCTAATTTTATTTCTCCGCGGGTATTTTTAGAATCGGTTGGGTTTTATAGCTCAAAAATATCTATTTTTTTCCGTGCAATATTTTTACAAAATGTTCCAAAATTCGACTTGTAATGGTCTTATTTTGGGTATAAGGTGTAAATGAAGTGTTAATTAATATTTCAAATGTTTGAAGTAGACACTTCCCGCTTAATTTGTGGTATTTTACTTTAAAATATGGCGGTAATAATCCAGAATTACGAGTAATAAACACAATAATGTTCTAAGATCTAAATTTTGCATTAATCGGTTTTACTATCTCGGAAGTTACTGACCTCAAAGGGGTTATTTACCCGAATTTCGCTTTTGTTCACATGTAAATGAAGGAATTTCGGCTTGTAAAAGGTTTTTCGCAATAATTCGTCTCGACCATGAAACGCTAATTTTCTTTTTTCCTATTAATTGCCGGATCGAATGTCACGCTAAATTTTATGCCATTGCATTTATTATTCTGCTGTGCTTGGTAATAACCATTTTTGTTCTATTCGACGATTTTTATTAGATTGAAGACATGTTAACTAAATTCGTAATCTTTAAAACCTTCAAGGGCAACAAATATATTGATTCATATCTATAAATTGGTAACTCGGGTCTGGGTTATTTGTGGGGGTTTCAATTTATCAGGGCCATCGTTACACTTTTGTACATAATAAATATTTTAACGACAACTCTTAGAATTATTTGTGGAATTTATCCTATTTTACTAATGTTAGGAATTTCTGTGTACCATAAAGATAAAGCTAATTTAGTTTTTCACGGATGACAAATTCTCATTTCCTGTTCTGAACCCCTAAAATGTAGGTGATTTGTTATTGTTTTACATTAATTTACATTCTGTCCTACCTAAACATATACTTTTTATTGACAAATTTGCTTATAAAAGCACCTTCATTTTACTAAAATTCTAATGAATACTAAAAGTAGAACGTCATTGCGACAACGAAATTACAAAAAACTTAATGTAATGCAAACTTTCGTTTTCGTATCAATTAAATCCATCTTTCCAATTAATCTAATAAACCATCTAAGTGGAATAATGACAAAATATTGCCTAATAATAAATAACAATAGATAGAAAGATATAAAGAAATCTTTTAAATAGTGCTGGCAACATTAAATGAAGTCATTCCATTTAATGCCTACGATTTTTTAAAAATAAACCGATGTTTATCATCAGATTGTCACTTCTACATTTATTTTTCCCATTAAGAGACTATAATTGCACATTCTAAATTGAACTGCCGATAATTGTATTATTAACAATTTAGCTACTCACTAACTTGATCAGTTAATTGACTCGATAATTGTGTTAAAGAATTTTCTATTAATACTTGGTAGATTGAAAATCTTACTACAGGGTGATTCGTTACTAAAAATTTTAATGTAATTATCAAAATAATTTTTATTTGTGATTTTAACATGGTATAGAATTTTTAATATGTATAGAATGAATTCTGTGAAGACAAAATGTTGTACTTTTTGTTCCAAATAGATCATCCTGTAAATAGAAACTAATTTAAGAAAATATTTACCTTAAATTGAAGCGTACATATGCGAAATTCTTGTAACGTTTCATCTTCTAACTTACAACCAAACATCTTGAATTGTGTCAATTTTACGAGCAATACGGATTGTGTATATTCTCCTCTAATTAGATGATTAATTAAAATGTATGTTGCAGCTGTTGGGAGATGTAAATACATGGTCGTTTCGTAGCGGCAAATCTATGGGAATTTAATTTAGTCGAATTCGAGTTTGACGTAATAGAGGCCTGTTTCACATGTCAGATGATTAATTCACGCCAGATAAGTAATTACTGCAGCAGCAATTTCAAATTTGTCGGGAATTTTTAGTTGATAATTCCATTAAACTGCCTATTTAGCGCGTTAATTGCTTGTAGAGTTAACCGACACGGCACTTAACGTGTTAATAACGAATTTATCAGTAAATTGTGTTTGTCTGTCGGGCAAACAGTGAAGCCAGTCGAACATTTTTTCTTCGATAACACACATAATTCAGAATGTTGCGTTTTCCGTCACTTATCGGTCACGGACTTGATGTGCATTCCTTCGTTTGCGATAAGAGAATTTGAAGAAGAACCGACGATTAGATTGGAATAACATCAATTTACTGCTGATGTTTGTTTTTGTATTCGGAATGATCATTGAATAATGAGATGATTGAAGGAGGGTTCAGCGTGAAACTCAAGGAAAGTAGAATGGCATCGTTTTAAAATAGCTGTGTCAGTAGCGAACTGTGTAGAGGGGTTTCCTGTTTATTAAAAATTGAAGGTTATACCACAGTATAATATTATACTGTGGTTATACGGAGTATCTCTTGGGAGATAGATTAATTGCAGATCTCTTATGCAAATAATACTAAAATATACATACTTGAGACTGTTATAAATTTATTAACTTAAAAATGTATAAAACATTAACAATCTTTGAGTGTTACTATAGATTTACAGTGCCTACTTTGGTTTAAAATATTGGAAATTGATTTAACATGAAGGGCGATAATAGGCATTTTTACCCATAGATATCATGAAAAGGAATTTACTGCTAAGTGAAATATCGACCTTATTGTTGCAATTCGAACAATGAAACTGGTAAAAATTTATTAAGTTAATTAAAATAGAAGCAGTAATGAAAATAATTAACTATTGTTTTATATTACAATAGAAGATGTGTTATTATTGTACATTAAAAAAGAATATTGTTTATTATGAAGTTTTAAAAAAATTAAATAATAATAGGTAGGAACATATCCTGGTATACTTTATATTTATAATGATGTTTAGTGTATGTTTACTTATTAATTAGACATGATTCGATAAGTTTAATCTTTGGAATTTTTATTATTATCTAGATTATCATCCATTGCATACGTTTTATTTACTTGCGCGTAGTACGTTCTGTTACTCTTTTTAAAAATATGATTCGATAAAATATTGATTGAATCTAATTAAAACCTTTATCATACTATTATATACCTTTATCATACATACTCATTTCTCCGAAAAAATACTATTGCAATTAAACCGTTCATTATATTTACTTTCTGTTATTTTATTCATCCACCTAGGTAAGTTTGTTTGCAATTTACTACAAATAACACTCATATAAACAAAAATAATTCATTTCTATGTAACATGCATGAACATTATTCTGGCAAAACGTGAGTTCCATGCGAACGTAAAATTCGATTTCATTCACACAGATAATTGGATGGATTTTTCCAGCGGCACAACACCCACCAATCAAATCCGTAATGAAATGAGCGCTGTGTTGTAGATGCACACATTTAGCTTTCGTATGTGTTTCAGGCGATTGAGTAACGCATTCCTGAAATACTTTCGTGATCATTGATGACACAAACACACGCCACACCATTGCCATTACCATTACTCGTTTAATACCCAGTGCGAGTACGCTATATGCATACTGTAAAATACTTGCAATTTACCTATGCATGTACTTTTTATGTAAATATATCAATTATATTCCCAACACATTATAGTTCAATATATTCTTATTAATATTCTTTACTTTTAATAGGGAATTTAATGGTTTTAGGTACACCGGTAGAATGTATGGAAATATTGTCATTTGATTGCAGGCAGCAACAATTCCTCGGCGTAATTTT